AAGCCACTGCAAGTCTATGGAATGAAGAGAATGGAAGGCCAATCTTTCGTGCAACAATGTCTCTGGAGAAAATCCACATGATATCTCGTGTGATCCGCTTTGACAACCGCGACACCAGAGCTGGTCGACGTGAAAGAGACAAACTAGCTCAGCATCAGAGATGTGAGGGATAAATGGGTTGAAAATGTATCTTTGTTGTACAATCCTGGTCCCCATGTTACTGTAGATGAGCGCCTTGTTCCATTCAGGGGCGCTGTCCTTTCCGACAGTACATGCCCAACAAGCCCGCCAAGTATGGCATCAAAATACCGCCTTGGAGATGAACTTCAGAAGAGAAAGCTCACTATGTTGGGAACAGTCAGAAGAAATAAGCCAGAACTTCCAACCGAAATTCTGAAGATGCAGGGCAGACCTCTGCATTCCTCAATATTTTCTTTCACTAACAAAGCAACAGTTGTTTCATACTGCCCTAAGAGAAACAAGAATGTTCTTGTAATGAGTGCAATGCACACGGATGCATCTCTGAGCACAAGAGAAGACATGAAGCCACAAATGATCCTGGATTATAACTCCACCAAAGGAGGAGTTGACAATCTGGACAAAGTCACAGCAACATACAGCTGCCAGCGCAAGACAGCCCGTTGGCCTTTGTTGATATTCTACAACATTATGGACGTGTCTGCTTACAATGCCTATGTCCTGTGGACTGCAATCAACCAGAAATGGAATGCCGGCAGATTGTACAGACGTCGGCTTTTCCTGGAAGAACTCGGCAAAGCACTTGTCACTCCCAAGATCCAGACGCGAGCCAGGCCAGCTCGATCCCCAGCAGCTGCAGCTGTCATTGAAAAGGTCAAAATCAGGTCACCCAACCCAAGCTCACCCAACCAAAATCCAGTGGACCCAGATGGACAGAAAAGGAAAAGATGCCAGGTATGTCCCTCCCGAGAGGACAGTAAAACAAGTACCTCTTGTGTGAAATGCAAGAATTACATCTGCAGAAAGCACACAGTAACATTCTGTCCATCATGTGGAGAACATTGAAAATGTTGAAGTTCGGATGAAGTTAAAGTTGAAGTAAAAGTTAAAATATAGTGTTGGAATTAAAAATGTATTGTGTGTCACTTTTCTAAATGTTTATATAACCTAAAATAAAATTGTTATTGGTTTAACCTGTTTCGTTTGCCTGTTTTGAGTGCATTTACACAGTGCGGGTCATAATCAATATCATTTTTATTCAACATAATACAAGGGTTAGACCGAGGCAGAGGTGCAGGTGATGTACTATCTCTCAACACAACCTCATGAGACTGGTCCTTCTGAATGAGAATCCATATCAAGGCCAATCAGTACAAAAAATCTGAAAATAACAGGAACAACTTGACATCAAGAAAATGAAAAAGGCACAGAATCAACACAATCAATTCCACAAAGAAAATGGCGAATAGGATTCTTTTTTTTGATTAAATGGCAACAGTTTTAGTTTAAAATAGTGAGTGTGACAAACGGTTACTTAGCTAGAGCAGTTTACTTTTCAGTGTAAGTCAATAAGAGCCAGAAAGAGTTGGAGAAAAACTTCTTCCATGAGCCCTTCCCTAGGCTATTGAATTTCATTGAGCTACTGTATTTTTGGGATCATGTCACAGCTGAAGACATGTTATTATTGGTAAAAAGACACACCCAGAGTTTTATCATTTGAATGGTTTCCTCAACCATTTGGTGGCTCACTCTTTGAGTCTCTACATCTCCCTCTTAGGCTCTTTTACCATCAAACTGCATCATCCAATTGGTAAAAGGTCTATAATTAAAAAACATAATTATTTGTGTTATTAGTGCTCCTACAACTTAGAAAATCAAAATGACCTGTTACAGTGATGAAACGTAGACCTTAATGTCGTAGACCCACAACATTTTAATTTATTGTTGTGGTTCATGGCATCCAGCTCGTCCTGAGAGGAGAGGACTTCTGTGTGCTTCATCATATTAGTGAATGTTTTGATGAGGTGGATCTCTCTGACTTTGCTGGTGACCCACTGGTTCAGACAGTCATAGCTAAATGGAGAAGCAGCTCTTTTCTTCAGAATCTCAGTGAGTTCAGCGTCGTCCTCTCCTCCTCCACGGATCGCTGGGAGTTTCTGAGCCAGAACACCCTGGAGTCCTAGGTTAAACTGAACATAGTTTTTGCAGAAAGTAGAGACGCTGACGAGCTTTCTTAACGACCCGGTGAGTGTTTTTGTCCCATTTCAGGTCATTAGACAGAGTTAAACCCAGAAACTTGCTCCTCTACAATCTGCACCTGGGAGTTATAAACTATAAACTGCTGTAGGGCTGTGTTCTTCAAAACATCCTGACACCTCCTCTCCTTCCACACAAGAACATCACAACTTATTAAACTTTTCAAAACATTTCATTTTAAAAACTGCACAGTTTCATGGACTAAAATATCACATTAGATTCATGATTCAAGATTAAATGTATTAGCTACATTTAATCAAGATATAAGTGTAACACATAACTTTGAAAATATTTAATTTGAGTACAGTAATTATTAAAAAACTAATATTTGTTAGTTACTTGCAGATCTGTCTCACACAAGTTAAACAGCAAATGCAGCTTCAACATGGAGCATTTAGAATGCCAAAGACAGAGATCTGTGTCATAAACAAATAAACACTTAATCATTCATTACTATTTATTGCTGTGTGTTATATATTAAGTTGTGTAACTCATGTAACTAATTTATTTTTCACACAACTTACAATAACCAAATTGTCATCTCATATCAAAAGAGAAAAAAAGATAAATCCGTTTGTTAGAAAACATGTTTATTTTTGGCCAAAATGTTCAATGCTGTATATTACGTCCCCCGACACTGACACACATCAGTAACAGACACTGTTTTCCGAATCACTCTATAGTTTAGTGTTGGGAAGTATTGTGTTGTGTTGTATTGTGAGTGCCAGAAACAAAACTATGCACACCCCTTTACTCCCCGGAGCCTGGTGATAGATAATATCACCAGGCTGTGCTTCAGTCCTGCACCGGACCTGTCCACGTTCAGCGGCCACTGGTCCACGTTCTGTAGCTAGCTTACAGTGACTTGCGAAAGTATTTGGCCCCCTTGAACCTCAGAGTCAGATTCAGATTCAGATTAATTTATTTCGCCATTTGCAGTAACACTACATTGGAATACATTTGTAAAAGTTCCCAGTGTGCACAGGACAAGTACAGACACAAAACAACATTAAAAGACAAAAATAAAACAAATTTTAAAAACAGTAAACAAATGTCACCGTGAAGTTGACCAACTTAAAACAGATCTATACGAGTGCAAAAAACATTAAAGTGCTCTATTCAAACTGTTAACAGCTCGTGGAAAAAAACTATTAGCATAACGAGATGTCCTGCATCTCAGAGAACAGTATCTTCTGCCAGAGGGAAGAAGCTGGAACAAGGCTTTTCCTGGGTGGCCAGAAGAGTCATTGATAATTCTCAGGGCACTGTTAAAAAGTCTGGATTGATAAAGAGCCTCCAGGACAGGAAGTTCACAGCCCACAGTCCTCTTAGCAGAGCGGAGCACCTTGTTTAGAGCTCTCTTTTCTTTATCTGTGATGTTTCCGAACCACACAGACACAGAACCAACAAGTAAACTCTCAATGGTGCAGCGATAAAAGTTCAGCAGAATCTTAGAGTTAGTGGTAAATTCTCTAAGTTTCCGCAGGAAGTAGAGACGCTGACGAGCTTTCTTTACGACCCGGTCAGTGTTTTTAACCCATTTCAGGTCATTAGACAGAGTTAGACCCAGAAACTTACACTCCTCTACAATCTGCACTTGGGAGTTATCGATTGCGACAGGCAAATGAGAACTATTGCGACTGAAATCAAAGACCAGTTCACATGTTTTGGATGCGTTCAGCTGGAGGTTGTTAGCCTTACTCCACTGAACCACGTTTTGGATCTCGGCTCTATAAGACGATTCATCGTTATTACTGATGAGACCGATGATGGTGGTGTCATCAGCATATTTGATGATCAGGTTAGAGTCTGAGGAAGACACACAATCATGAGTGTACAGTGTAAAAAGTAAAGGACTCAAAATACATCCCTGAGGAGATCCAGTGCTCACAGAAACAACATCTGAAAAACAGTCATTGATTTTCACTCTCTGAGATCTATCTGTTAAAAAGCTAAAAATCCATTTACACATGGCAACACTTAAGCCGAGAGACATGAGTTTTTCAATCAGTATACCTGGGACAAGACAATTAAAAGCAGAGCTATAATCAATGAACAGCATTCTTGCAACAGATTTACTATTGTCCAAGTGACTGTAGACAGAGTTCAGAGCAAAGGAGATGGCATCCTCCACACTCCTGTTCTGTCTGTAAGCAAACTGGAGCGGGTCAACACTCACAGGGATCTGGCTCTTAATGAAGTCCAGCACAAGCCGCTCAAAAGTCTTCATTAGGACAGAAGTGAGGGCCACAGGGCGATAGTCATTAAGGCATGTCACAGGAGTTTTCTTAGGAACTGGGATAATGGTCGACTCTTTGAAGCAGTTCGGCACAGTACAGTTCCTTAGCGACAGGTTAAAAATGTCTGTTAAAACAGGGGCAAGTTGCTCAGAGCACAGTTTCAGGACGCGAGGAGGGATGCCGTCCGGGCCAGGGGCTTTCCGGACAATGGTGCTGGACAAGACCCGCTGGACTGCCTCCTGAGTCACGGTGAACGCATCTTGATTGAGGCAATCAGGAAAGACAGTAGGACAGGCATCAGCAGATTCGAAGCGGCAGTAGAACGTGTTCAGCTCAGGCAGAGCTGGGCCAACAGATCCGATTTTCCCAGCACTAGGTTTCCAGGACGTGATGGCTTTAATACCGCTCCACATGCGGCGAGGGTCATCTTCCTTAAAATAACCCTTTAACCTGTCCCCGTAACTGCGCTTTGCAGATTTAATAGAACCTTTCAACATTTCGCCACATTTCAGGCTTCAAACATAAAGATATAAACATTTATTTTTTTGTCAATCAGCAACAAGTGGGACACAATCGTGAAGTGGAACGAAATGTATTGGATAATTTAAACTTTTTTAACAAATAAAAACCTAAAAAGTGGGGCGTGCAATATTATTCGGCCCCCTTGCGCTGATACTTTGTAGCGCCACATTTTGCTGCAATTATAGCTGCAAGTCACCTGGGGTATGTCTCTATCAGTTTTGCACATCGAGAGACTGGAATTCTTGCCCATTCTTCCTTGCAAAACAGCTCGAGCTCAGTGAGGTTGGATGGAGAGCGTTTGTGAACAGCAGTCTTCAGCTCTTTCCACAGATTCTCGATTCAGGTCTGGACTTTGACTTGGCCATTCTAACACCTGGATACGTCTATTTGTGAACCATTCCATTGTAGATTTGGCTTTATGTTTTGGATCATTGTTCTGTTGGAAGATAAATCTCCGTCCCAGTCTCAGGTCTTTTGCAGACTTCAACAGGTTTTCTTCCAGAATGGTCCTGTATTTGGCTCCATCCATCTTCCCATCAATTTTAGCCATCTTCCCTGTCCCTGCTGAAGAAAAGCAGGCCCAAAGCATGATGCTGCCACCACCATGTTTGACAGTGGGGATGGTGGGTTCAGGGTGATGAGCTGTGTTGCTTTTACGCCAAACATATCGTTTTGCATTGTGGCCAAAAAGCTCGATTTTGGTTTCATCTGACCAGAGCACCTTCTTCCACATGTTTGGTGTGTCTCCCAGGTGGCTTGTGGCAAACTTTAAACGAGACTTTTTATGGATATCTTTGAGAAATGGCTTTCTTCTTGCCACTCTTCCATAAAGGCCAGATTTGTGCAGTGCACGACTGAATGTTGTCCTATGGACAGACTCTCCCACCTCAGCTGTAGTTATCTGCAGTTCATCCAGAGTGATCATGGGCCTCTTGGCTGCATCTCTGATCAGTCTTCTCCTTGTTGGAGATGAAAGTTTGGAGGGACGGCCGGGTCTTGGTAGATTTGCAGTGGTCTGATACTCCTTCCATTTTAATATAACTGCTTGCACAGTGCTCCTTGAGATGTTTAAAGCATGGGAAATCTTTTTGTATCCAAATCCGGCTTTAAACTTCTCCACAACAGTATCTCGGACCTGACTGGTGTGTTCCTTTGTCTTCATGGTTCTCTCTGCGCTTTAAACAGAACCCTGAGACTATCAAAGAGCAGGTGCATTTATACGGAGACTTGATTACACACAGGAGCATTCTATTTATCATCATCAGTCATTTAGAACAACATTGGGTCATTCAAAGATCCTCACTGAACTTCTGGAGTGACTTTGCTGCACTGAAAGTAAAGGGGCCGAATACTATTGCACGCCCCACTTTTCAGTTTTTAATTTGTTTAAAAAAGTTTAAATTATCCAATACATTTTGTTCCACTTCACAATTGTGTCCCACTTGTTGTTGATTCATGACAAAAAATTAAAATTTTATATTTTTATGTTTGAAGCCTGAAATGTGGCGACATGTTGAAAGGTTCAAGGGGGCCGAATACTTTCGCAAGGCACTGTAGGTCCTAGATCATTAGCCTTCCCGTCTGGAGGAGCGGATCCCTTTCTCAAATGGGTCTCCCTCCCTGTGGGTTTCCCTAGTTCTCCCCAAGGTTTCTCACTTTTTCCCTCTGGGTTTTTTAAGAGTTTTTCCTTGTGGATGCAGGAGGGTCTTGTTGGACAGTTAGTGTCCAACAGAAAGGATTGGTGATGATCAGGACACTTTAGCATTCTACAACATGTATGGACATTTTCTTCTGTGTGAGCTTTATATTCTTCATGTGTTTTAACTGTTGATTCTCTGACCTGTGTTGGTGATTTCAATGGTTTTGTTAAGTCTCTGAGACGACTTCTGTTGTGACCTAGGGCTATACAAGAATAAATTGTATTGTATTGTATTGTATTGTAGGCTTATTTTAGAGTCCATATTTTATTTATTTATTTATTTTATCTCGAACCTGCACAATATATATTTTTACATATATCAATACAAATACAATAAAATACATTACAAACAGCCACCACTGGTATAAAACGGACAACACAAAACACACACACACTCAGACAACACACAAGCCCAAACACTCTCCAACCCAACACCTCTCTCCCACTACTTGCTCTGTGCTCAAGG